CTTTATGAAATTGCTAAGAAAGCTCTGGAGTTTGGAAAAGAGGCCCTTGCCTCAAAAACTTTTGTGAGGAATGATTACAGGAAACTATGCGAGCTTTTTGTTTTCTATTTGGGAGGAGAAGTACCTGGACTGTGTTTTCATCAACCTGGAGCCTGCCATGAAGCTAGGTACAGTATATTAAAAGAAAAAAATTTAAGTATAATAAATAACATATAAATAAAAGAATATAATAAATAAATATTGATGGTGACAAAATCTTACTCTTTAGGTTTACGGCTGATGCTTTATACATTCTTACCCTGAGAAAAAGCGATAAAATCACAATGATTATGAGCGAAGTGGAAAAAAAATAATAGAGACAGCAGCCTTTTTCACATCTGTCTGGTATGCACCTTGGTTTCTAAAGTCGTACTTGGTTGCAAGTTCACTCTCAAATGATCTTGCAGCTTTTAAGAATGCTTTTTGCATCAAAGAAAAATATCCCAATCTTGGTTCAGCATTGATTGCTAGTATGCAAAGACATACCTGGTACTTGACTGAGCAGTTGGTGCTGCTATCTCTGGCTGATGATGATGTAGAGCAGGAAGGGAAAAAAGAGATGTTGGATAGATTAGTTCAGTTCGATGTTCCTGACATGTTAAAGATTGGAAAACCTGAGCTACCAATCATATCAGTGTCCACTGAGCTTTGGGAACTGGTAGGTCCAGAAAGTTGGCTTCTGTTAAAAATCGCAGAAGTCCCTAATGGTGAAGTAGAGCTTTGGAGGATGGAAAAAGCCCCAAAGTTATTAGATTTATTCAAAACATTTGTTAAAAATTTGACTTGCGTCAACGATTGTGCTGAAAGAAACATACGCCTCATTCAGAACTTTGTAGGTGGATATAAATCTGACATTATGCAACAAAAATTAATGCTGGTGGCCAGGGACAATAGAAAGAAACTTAAAAAAGATCTTTCCAAGTCCCAGTTAAAAAATATATAACTTATTATTCTTGAAATATATATTTTTTGACACACTTTAGTAATTTTATTAGGAAAATGTGTAAAATTTTGGTTTTTAACAAAAAATGGAATTTTACATATTGCTAAAATTGTGGTCTGACAATGTTTTTTTATATATATTTGCAATCAGGGGACACTAGACAATGGAAAAAAATTGCGTGCACATAGAAATTAAAAAAAAAGTATAAATTTGAGACACCCTAATATATATATATATATATATATATATATATATATATATATATATATATATATATATATATATATATATATATATATATATATATATATATATATATATATATATATATATACATATATATATATATATATATATATATATATATATATATATATATATATATATATATATATATATATATATATATATATATATATATATATATATATATATATATATATATATATATATATATATATATATTAGGGTGTCCCAAATTTATACTCTTATATATATATATATATATATATATATATATATATATATATATATATATATATATATATATATATATATATATATATATATATATATATATATATATATATATATATGCATATATGTATATATATATATATATATATATATATATATATATATATATATATATATATATATATATATATATATATATATATATATATATATGTATATCTATCAATTTTTTGTAATATTTGATAAACATTTATAAAATAGGTTCCACCTGGTCCTTGCCAGTAAAATGTCCAAGGCAAACTTACTTATGACTTGTAGTTAGTAAATGTTTTTCTAGTTCAACCATCCCACGACATGTATGGGAAAAAGCACAAAAAGCATCTTTGGTAAAGTTTTTTAGTCCATGACCTTATTTTTCAGGAGCCATTTTTTAAATCATAATAGCCAAATTTTAAAAAAAGTTCAATCGCATATCATTGTTTGATGAAAAAAACAGCATGATGTTTATCTCTAGTACAAATATCTTCATAAAGTCCTTTGACATTAACAATTTTAAAAAATTTGATAAAAATAGATAAAAACACTATGGTGTCTTCGACATTATTTATGGATGAATGAGTTTTTATAGCAGCTACAGTCTCATCACAAAATACTCTTAAACAAGTTGACACATTTTGACGTTCAATCGGTTTAGGAAAAACTCCTGTTTCATTAAGTTTAGACATTTTCACAATAGCATCTTTTTCAAATAGAAAAAGTTTTTTAAGATCTGACCATTTTGCAGTTCTTGAAATACCTTTGTTAGTAAAGCATTGTTCTTGGGATTTTTCTGTGAGCCAATTGTTGTGAATAGATTTTATTAAATGAACAAATTCATACAGAAGGAAAATGTTATCATTAGTGCACCAAGTATTACGGAGATTGAACATTGCAAAGAACTTTTTATTTATTTTGTTATTGTCGCAAAGAATAGCAACAACAGAACCACCACACTTTTTTATTCCTTCAATTGTTTACACTGTTTGATCGTATTGGAAATTAGCATCTAAACCTGTTACTGGTAATGCTTTATAAAAAAACTGAGTTCCACCAAATAAAGAACAAATCATTAAACCCAAAACTGTTTTTGCTAACTCATTTGGGGAACTTACAGATTTTCCAAAAATGTTACCTTCTTGATATGTTAACTGTGGTTTAACATAGATTTCATCAATTAGTAGAATAATTTGTCTTTGAGATATAGGACATTTTTCAAAATACAACTTTAACAAAATCATTATCTCCAACATTTCTAACTTTAGATGTCAACCTTGTCATCAAAGAAATATTTGGTAGTTCGTAGTCATCACGTAATCGAAAGTAAAGTGTTCTTGACAATGAAAAGAACTCAAATGTCCTAGCAAGCATATCAGGAGAATACTTTTTTTCACCAATAAACATTAATGAGTTTATACTTAACGTCTGTTCAATAATAATATTTTTCTCATGATCGATTAATTCGGTAAAGAATTCAGATAGTGTATTGCAGCATGGAGACGGCTAATACAATCAATTATATACATATGATTGTAAGAAAAAGGTTTTATGGTGCACTTAACACCACAGTAATAGCTATCAATGGATAAATCATTTTTTGTTTTCAAAATAAACTTTGGAACACCCAAATTGTCCAATATATCAGCAGATTGAAGACTTAAACAGTTTTCATTGAAACTTGGTATTATTGAGTAGGAAAAAGATATAGTTTTATACATTATTTTATTACTCAAATCTTCGAAAGAAGAAATATTATTAGCTTTCACAAAAGCCTCCATTTCATCAGGCAAAGCACTTCATAAAGATGGCAATGATTTAGTAGTTAGTCTTGGTGGTGCAAGTGGAGTCGGAATTTGACTTGGATTTACACAAAAAAATGCATATGGTGGATGTTTTGGTCTTAATTTACCGTAAACTAAAACTTTTTCATAGTCTTTAGGTCAATAATCCTCATAAATAAAAGTATTTGGGCTATATGGAGTATTATCTCGAGGTATAGCACTCCATCTTTTTCGTTCATCCACATTTTTTTTTTTATTTGGAAGGCGATAAACTTTTACAGACTTTGTAACATCGTAGTTACCTCTGCACCCAGTGACATAACACTTAAAAACCATATTCTTTAAATTTGTTTATTTAGCTTTAAAAAGAAAGCAAATTTAGTATACATAAAATTAAAACGTATCGCATATTAAAATAAAAGCCAGGTTTTTTTTTTAAAACGCGCCATATTACTGAAAATTTATAAAATTAATCTCGCCTACATTTTTTTTTTTTTCAGCCGTTTGTTTACTAGGCCTGCCAATACAGTAGGCCATGGTCAATATCAACAGTTTTTTTTACTTAAATCCATATCATTTAAACGGATAGCAACTTTTTTGTTAAATGAGATCGGTACAACTTTTGATATCATATTGATAGCATATTGCATATGAGTGCACTTAATAATAGAAGATTGTATTTTTTCATAACTTTAAAAAACTGTTAATGCATACTTTAAAAAACTTTTAATGCATTAAAATAATAATGATATAAAATCTTGTTAACAAAATTATTAAATGCTATTTCCACTGGGAGTCAATAAAGCCGCAAGAAATAAATCTTCTCTTTGCATATAATCATATTAATTATAAATGTTACTTAATAAAATACTTATAAACTACTAAATAAAACTGTTTTTATAAGTGCATGACAATTCTGAAGATGATCAGAAGAGTTAAAGACTTTATTTTGAAAAAACCAAAAAATCCTAAAATTTAGCTTTAAAAACAAAAAATTCAATTTTTTGTTCTTTAATAATTTTAAAATAACTAAAGATATTTAAAAAAAAATACAGTTTACAGAAATTTTGTAGATTTATACTATAAAACTTGCAAATTTTATTTATCTAAAAAATTCAATTTTAATTATTTCCTTTTATTTTGAAATACAAAATATATAAAAACATTAAAAAAAAAAGTTAAAAATTATGCTTAAACCATCTTACCCCGAAAACAGAATAAAAGTATTTTATTTACAAATGGATTAAATTACATAATTTCAGAGGGTTGCATAGTTTATTTCATAAAACTTTCTAATGTAAGTTAAACTTTGCAGGATAAGAATTTTTGAATAGTTAATTGTTTCCTTACTGTTAAAAATAGCAACCTGATACGTTTAAAAATATACTCAATAGTGTAAAGTATACTTTCAGTATCTGCAGCAGTTATTAGATTATTTGCAAGTAGTCCGTTGTTTCAAGATTTAACAAACTAAAGTAACAAAGGCAAGGGTGCTTAGCCCCAAAAGCTTAAAAGTTTTATTCCCCCTTTCTCTTTCTCTCTCCTTCTATTTTTTTCATTTGCAAAGTGGGCGTAAAGACGTCAAACACAACTTCGAGAATAGCGTTTTTTATTTGATGTGGTAAACTAAAAATCTGCGTTCCCACTTAATGGTTAATAATATTTAATAGCTTTTATTTGTGTGTTCCATGCTTTCACAACAATTAAAACTTTAGTTAGATCTATAACAGTATAACAACTGTAACATCTTATGACTAAGATTTTTTTCTTTTTCAATAATTTTAGTAAACGATACATACTGCGAACCTCTATTAAACGTGTTGTTTAATGAATCATTATTTGGGTAACTAATTTATACATTATTAAATTAAATATACAGTATTATTTTATTCATTTCGCTAAATAAATTTTTTATTAAATGCAATTTTTGACAAAAACCATTTTTATTTTAATGTTTTTTTTTGTTTTTGTTTTTCTCAGAAGCATGCTAATTCTTACACTTCAAATAAGCTACATGTATGAGTCCAGCGAAATAGCTGTAAACGTTACGTGGCAATATTTCTTACCTATATTACTAAAACTTGAGAGTGAATCATTATCCGACAGTTATGTAAAAGTTGATTCGGACAATCTTAAATATATGGTACATTTCTATTACCAATAATACATTGTTATTTTAGGCAAAGATATTTTTTAAAATGCTTGAACGCCGTTATAATTTTGGTAAAAATGACTTTATTGGTTTTTATTAAAAAAACATTCATCTATAAAAAAATTTTTTCAGATAAATAACTATAATAAGCGGTGTTACTCTCGCTATTAAATTTATCAAATTTAATGATATATATATATATATATTTAGTAAATTAATTACTTATTAGGATAAATAAATATAATAAGTGAAGTTAATGTGGTAGTGGTGTAGTGGTAGAGCGCTCGCTTCATAAACGAGTGGTTCTGAGTTCGATCCCCACCACGTTCCTGGTAGTACCGCGCTCAACTCGTTTCTCCGCGCAACGGCCTTGTTCGTCAAGGTTTGTGTTTCGGAGTTATAGAATCGATAGAGGGTTATAGCCACAAATAAGTAGCCTCCTCGTCTGTAGTAGCCTTCTCGGCCTTGAGTAGGTGAATTGAAATAAAAAAATAAAAAAAGTAACTCTTGCTATTAAATTTATCAAATTTAATGATATAGATATAATTAGTATAATATTTACAGCTAATAATTTAATTGAAATTATGTTACTGCAGGGTAAAACTTAGCCGTAAAACTAAAACAGTCCACTGACTAAACATCTGCATACTTGGTGTGGAAAATCATCGTCACTAGTTTCAACTTATGTTGTTCAATAGAAACTGAAAAATAATCGAAAGGTTTTGAAATTATTATACTTAAAACAGAAAGTTACGATTTTTAAAACAGAAACTCACGACTTCCACTGCAGACAAAATAACAGTATTCTTATATGCCGAAGCAATAACAAAATGTATACCATTACCAAAATTGACATAAATTAAATTGATTGCTAATATTACAAATAAATTGTGTTCATAGTAAACCATTTCTTATGTTTCTGTTTTTTCTTAATTCAGTGTCAAAAATTCGGTCGTTTTTAGTTTTGTTCTTGTTAATGTAAATTAAGTTAATGCTGTTAAGCATTTTTAAAGATATAATTTTTTTTAATTTTTTAAAACTATTAAATTTGATTTGTTTATGCTATTTAGTTCAAGAAAGAACAGAGCTAAACTTTTTGATCTTTTTTAATGTTTTACGCATTTTTTTTTTTTTTTTTGAATAATGAAATTTGTTATTGATTAAATTAATGTTATTGATATATTCATATATATATATATATATATATATATATATATATATATATATATATATATATATATATATATATATATATATATATATATATATATATATATATATATATATATATATATATATATATATATATATATGTATATATCAATAACATTAATTTAATCAATAACAAATTTCATTATTCAAAAAAAAAAATAATATATATATATATATATATATATATATATATATATATATATATATATATATATATATATATATATATATATATATATATTTGAATGATGACATATTGTATGAGAGAATATAATATACTAGCTGAATTGACCCGTAAAAATACGGGTCTTTGGATGTCTATTCCACACAAACCTTTCCCTTATTTTCTTAATCTAGCTGTCCGTGTCGGTAAATACAGGTCTTTTCTTTTACTTCTTTATTTATCTATTCCACGCCAATCATTTCTTTACTTGTTCCTTATTTACTTCAATATTTTTTAGTAAACGGTGGAAAAAAGTTTATTAAAAAAATTTGCTTTGAGAGCAAAAAAAAACTTTAACATACGCATTTTTTCCGCATACGTATATAGCTTATTAAACCCCGTTTATTTATTTATTTTTTCTAAAATTCTGAACTAAACTACTTCCTACTTTTAGACCAGCCATGGACCATGGTTTATGGTTGCGTCCTAACCATTTTCAATAGTTACTATTTACTATATTTATTATTATTTTATGCTTAGTTTTGAATAATAACGGTCTTTTAAAGTTACCTTTGTATTAGACGGAAACGGTAATGCAATTCATTAAAACGTTAGTCGTTTAAAGCGTCAAAAGTCATACAAAAAAATAAATTATAAATTTTGTGGTTTAAAAGTTAAAAAACTAATAATAATATAACAAAAGGTTATTTTTAAGAGCCGTTTTTTCTAAGAATCAGGCAAATTCCTGAAACTGTGGAAGTGAGCTCGTCCAAATTGCTTGAATTTTTTATATATTGATCAGAATATAGAGAAAACCTGTTGCGGAAAAAAAAATTTTCAAAAATGTTTCGTTCACTCGCAATCTGGGCTTAAATTTTTAAGATTTTTTAAAAATTTTTTAGAAATTTAGTTTTTGACACATTTGAACCCATTTTTTTTTGGCAAGGCAAAAAGTTGCACATAGCTTTTGTAGTTAATATCAGACGTAACCCAAAAGCTCTCTCCAAAAAATATAAAAAAGTTGCGTGACACTGTGCGGTTGGCTAATTATCATAGTTCAAAAGTACAAAATCAATCAGTTTTGTCAATTTTTAATCGGAGTTAATTCTTGCGGCGAAGTGTTGCACACAATTTTTCTTTTAGAATTTGAAATTATCAAAGGTATTGAGTCTAAAAATGCAAAGAAAGTTATGTGATACCTAAGGCCTATTAATACATTAAGGCTTGAAAATGGAAAAAAATGTTTTAGTATACTTACAAAATGAACCATTACGGCAGAGGCGCTTAGTTTTGTAAAAATGTAAGCATATCCAACTGTCAATACAAAAAGGTCCTAACATAATAATAAAAAAATTCGTGTGATTTTGTCACACGCATGATACAACATGAATTAAAAACTGAACAAAAATCTAACATCAAGATAACTATGTTGCTAATTAAATAAAACATAAATCAAACAATTAAATGTTTTTCCATTTAAAAATTAGTTTTTCATTTATTAATAGAGTCATTTACACACATTATCCACCACATCACACATAATTTCTACTCTGCTGCAGTAAGTTTCTCTAAGAATAATGATATGACTGTATTATAGTCTTCTTCGGATAATGAATAACCGCCACAACCACTGATTAGAAAAGGAGCATTTACTAAACAGATAGTTTTATCAGTTTGGTTATTTATCTCTTCGGTAGTAACTGGCCAGCGAAAAGTATTCTTCTCTTGCCCGTTAATCATACAATTAACTCTGATCCCAGTTATAGACACCTAAAAGTATTAGCGCAACATTTAAAATAATATAATAAAGAGTTTATGATTTGTTTAATTTTGCTTACATTCAATAAAACTTGTAAAGTCTTATATAATGTCATTCTGAAATTATTTTTACATTTTATTTATATTCCTTTTTTTTAGAGCACTGTAAAACATGTAAAACAAAATAAAAACTTGAAACTAATATATACTTTGAATAATATTACCTCCACAATATATCCAATTTTCCATTGTTTTTCATATGCAACAGTAACACAATCATTCACTTTCCATACAAGACAAATTTCTTTTGCAAGATTGGCGATGTCTTCCTCATATTTATTATCATCTTCATTGTCTCCTGTCAGATTAAAGTCATCATTTTCGCCATAAACTTCTTTGTTATCGTTAACCTGACTATTTTCATTATTTTCTGTTGTCGGTTCTACCAGCTTACCTTTTCTTTTCAGGTTACTAAATCTATAACAATATCAATTGTACATATTTTTAAACATATGTAAACAAACACACAAAATTATAACTTTCACCTAAATTTTAATTTCATATTTGTAAAAGAACTATTTAACAGTCAGAAACATAATCTAATTTGCAAAAGTTTTGATAGCAACAATGCCTACCTTGAAAATAAAGATCTTATCTGTTGGCTGTTACATATCGATCAGGCGGAAGTTCTCTCCTCAGCTGCATGTGAACCTGCTCAGTGCTCATTTTATTACCTGATTCTTCTCCATAAATAAAGTATTTATACAACAGTTCTTTCTGCTGATTTGAAAATCTAAAAGAACTACGAACTGGTAATGCCCAACCTTGCAATAGAAAAATGTTCATGCAATGTGGTTTGTTTTTTACGGAAGCACTGTTAGAGGATGAAGATATTGGCATATTTAGTTCTGAAGTAATTTTTATCTTATGAACAAACGCGTTGTGAACTTTATCCAATGATGTTAATGATTTCGGAACTGTATGAAGACCGGATAGCATGTGTTTTTCTAACTCAGCATCGCTTTCAAATGATAAAGTACAATTTATTTTGGTGCGAAATCTTAATGAATATAATTGCCTGTCACTTCTTTTCTGTTTTTCCTTAAGTGACTTGTTACGCTTAATTGAATTATCTGTTTTGCTATATGGCAACAACAACTTAATCGAGGGTTGAATTTTAAGATTTCCATACTCTTGTTCAATTCCCTCACTGATATTGAAATAACGCCACATCTTCATACTTTTCTCACCAAACTCAAGTGAGTGATAGTTGCTAATGTTTTTAATCTTTTGTCCAGTAACTACAGTTTTATCATTGCTAATTTGAGCAACTGCTACTTTTGCATCTTTAGCGCCAAAACTATAATGCATAGCCTTTGTGTATATCTTCAGCAGTCAAAAGATTATTACCAGAGTCAACGTAACTCCTTAAAATTGTCTTTACAACTGCACTCTCCCTGTCACATTAATCTTTTCCACAACAGGGTTCATTATAATCATATCTCAGCAACTTTATATCTCTCTCTTTGCATACATTGTAGATTGCTTCAGCTGAAAGATTTCCCTGATAGCAGCCGGCATTATCAGATTTGGTAAACATTTTCTTGATATGCGGTTGATCAATTCTGAATTGGTCTAAAACTGCAGTGGCTAACGAAACAACATCACCTATTCCCTGATCACACCTATACATTGAAGTAAAGTAAACACGTTTGAATAACTTTCCTGCTATTTTTCTGAAGAATATATCCACATGTAAATTCATTCCTTTCTTGCCAAAATACTCTCTTTGGCCCTCTCTGTATCGAACCGGAAGAACTTTTCACACTTTGTTTGATCAAGACTAGATCGGACAAATACTTTCTTCTCTGGAAATGCCAACCCTATATGAGATGCATGCCATTTTCTTGCTGTTTCTATACGATGTTTGGTACACTCAAATGTGTTCATTATAAACTTTTTGGTATACTTGGTATGGTCTAATAATGAGAGGATAACAAACTTTCCCATGGAATCACTTTGCTTATATACTTTCTGAGCACGAATAATTTCAATTGGGAGAGGGCTATGTATTTCATCAACATTTTTACTGTTAAGAAAATCTATAAGTATTTCCTCTTGTCCTGGAGCAACAGCTTCCGCAAATTTTTTCTTTGATAAGTTTTCTAGGCGAACGTACTTGCGTTTTAACTTATCTTTAGTATTATCTTTCAGATATTCGAACTTCCTTTTTAATCTAAATTTTATTGGACTTGCATTAAGAACCTCAGTTACACTCTCACAGCTTCTTAGAGATTCGTCCAAAATCTCCGGTGAAACATTAATTTCACCGGGATCAAATTCTTTATCTGGAGTAGCAGGTGTCATATATGTTTGTTCTTGTTGTGTTTGTGTTTCTGCACATAAATTGGTGTTTTCGTTGACTCTAGATAAAGCAGTTTCTTGCTTTAAATGGGTGAAACACAGCATTGCACTAACTGAAAATACTTCATTGTATCGCTTTGACATATTGATATGACGACATGTATTGGTGACGCCCTTAAAGCGGGAGATTTTTTTCCTTTTATATTTAGATGGTGAGGATGAAAGCATGTTTTTGGAGGACTCCATGCAATACCAAACGTGTACCGGTGAAAAGCACATATTTGTTTATCCTTTTCAAGATTTCTTTAAAGTCTATTTGCAATATGTCAATTTTCTTCCCAAATATTATTATCGTTTAATCGCATGACCTAAAAACAATTTTTCAAACAATTATTAAGTGTTTCATTTAAAGCATTGTTTAAAATCTGACTCTTCACGAAAAATATTTACAAGTTTGAAATACATTGTTGCTATTATTAAAATACAATATTGCAAGAGTGTGATTAATTTAGTGATTATTTATTAAAAGAGTGAGGAATTAATTAAAAGAGCTATTTTTTTTTGTTTAAAGAACTTTGTCACAAAATCTTATTGCAGAGAAGTTATAAAGTATGTAATTATAAAAATTATATTACAGTCTGCGTAAATTTAAAATACATAATTACCTTTAAGTTGATGAGGTGTTTCTTAACATCAACATCTCCCAGCTAATGAATGTAGAACATTTTGTTTATACTTTTATTTTTTTTGAATGATCCACAATTTCCTTTTGAAAAGCAACAACAGTTTTCATGAAAATACTTGTTTTGTTCGATACTCAACTAAAAACAAGTTCTATTTATGCAGTACCTATTTCTCAATAGCAATGATAAAATATCTACTCTACTTATGCAAATTTTAAAGATCGTTAAAATAAAGTTAAGACATTTTTATGGTAAAGTAAACAACCGCCCACTAACTTGTTTCTCTACAATCGTGATATCAGCGATTGTTCTTCCATTCGATCACCACAAGTTATTTGGTTATGACGTAAATTTAAATAATTCACTTCTGATCATGTATTGTTTTTTATTATTATTTATTTCAATTGTTATAATTTCTATATCATAGTCAGAAACGCTTAAATTTTTTCTTAACTTACGTGCAATGTTTTGTGTAATGCTACTTGCTAATTTTGAATGATAGAAATTTTATTGTGAGCGAAAACCTCATCTGTGTGTCCAAAAAATATCTCTTCGTACTTAATCATTTTTAACAATTTGTACCTTTATTTTTAACTTAATATCTTAAGATCACATGAGTTTTTTTTTAAACTATGTTAGGGTCATCTTATATTGACCATTTAACATGATTATATTTTTACAAAACTTAGCGCCTCTGCCGTAATAGCTCATTTCGTAAGTATACTATAACATTTTTTTCCAATTTCAAGCCTTAATATATTAATAGGCCTTAGGTATCACATAACTTTCTTTGCATTTTTAGACTCAATACCTTTGATAATTTCAAATACTAAAAGAAAAATTGTGTGCAACACTTCGTCGCAAGAATTAACTCCGATTAAAAATTGACAAAACTGATTGATTTTGTACTTTTGAACTATGATAATTAGCCAACCGCACAGTGTCACGCAACTTTTTTATATTTTTTGGAGAAAGCTTTTGGGTTACGTTTGATATTAACTACAAAAGCTATGTGCAACTTTTTGCCTTGCCGAAAAAATGGGTTCAAAGGTGTCAAAAACTAAATTTCTAAAAATTTTTAAAAAAATCTCAAAAATTTAAGCCCAGATTCCGAGTGAACGAAACATTTTTGACATTTTTTTTTTCCGCAACAGGTTTTCTCTATATTCTGATCAATATATAAAAAATTCAAGCAATTTGGAGAAGGTCACTTCCTTTGACTGCCTGATTCTTACAAAAAATGACTCTTAAACGTTATTATTTAGCTCTTACTTATGGTATTTATTTTGTTTTCATTTTACATTTTTAAAATGTGCAAGGTTTGAAATGTGCAAGGCTTCAAATCCGCGCCTAAAAAATCTCAAAACAATTTTTTTAATTTTTTTAATCTGGCTATATTTATCGCAAAAAATTAAATATAACAAAAAACCTTTTAATTGCTTTTTTTTTCCCTGCCTCCACTGCAATACTATGTGGAGTAGTAGGACGGTTTTATCAAATTCTTTCCTTATAAGGTTTTAGGACCTTTTTTTTTAAAACTATCCGTAGCTTATTAGGACAAATTATGTGAGAACAGTATCAAAATCATGACACACACGCAACAAATTTTCGCCCAGTTTATTGATGTTTTTAGAAATCCTAAAAATTCATAAAATTTAAAAAGAAAAAACAGTTAAAGTGTTTAACATTTAACTTGTTTAACTTCAAAAATATTTTGTAATTTAAAGATTCTAAGAAAAAAATTGCTAGCGGTAAATTTGAATCACGACAATTACGTTCAAAAGCTTAGCTCGCTAACCACTCGGTCATGCTGACACATCATATATCAAAATTTTAAAAATATATAAAAATTGTTTTTAACGGAAGTGCTGTATATCAAAAATTAAGGAGAGGTTGACGCAATGCAATTTTTAAGTCAAAGTCAAACTATAAAACTTGAAAAATGTTTCAGCATGTTTTATTATTACTTACATACGTACGTTAGATATTTGCATACACGTTTTTTTATAAAAAAAGTGCTGCGACTCTTTTTACTTACACTACTATTAAGTTCGGCATTATTATATAGAAGATAGATAGATTATAAAATAGTTTTTCACTTAAAAGGACAAATTCTATTCCACATTAACCTTATCTCTATTTCTCCCTCTAATATTTTTTAGTGAACAATAGATTATGTGCTAGAAAAAAAAAATTCACATATGCACCTTTCCCGTATATTTATATTTAGAGCTTAACATGAAGAAGGTAAATCATTTAGTTCAAGACAACCTGCCCAAACCCAAATCCTCTGTTGATTTATGCACACTCACTGTGGCTAGGCGTGTAAAATAAGTAGCTAGGCAAGTCATATAAATTAACTTGATCTGTTTTTCTGCATAAAACAAAAACAGAAAATGTGAAGTACTTGATATAAGAAACTGTAATATTGGATTTAGTTAATTCAATACAAAGTGATAGGAAACTGCAAAATAAGGTAACAACGTGACAATTATTCAAATACTAATTTACAACATTTTGTATTGTGTTTTATTAAAATAGCTTTATTAAATGGTATGAAGATTGATGATTCTTTTTTTTCGCCTTTAGAAAATGACTAACGATTTGAAAGACTTTTAAATTGTTTATAAAAGCATTATCTAAAAATGAAATAAAATCATTATTGATAACACTGAATGCACATTTATTTGTTTTATGTTAATTCATTTAAAAAATGAAAAATACGAAACGAAATTTAGTAATATTAAATAAATATTAAACACTTACTTTGTGAGAGTGCTTTTGTAAAAGTCTCTAATATTCGGTTAGAAGGCTGGAAATACTCTTTTTTTAGAAAAATTCAGTTTTATCAGCATTGCTAAAGATAAAAATTCTTATTGACACAAAAAAATTCGGCATTTTTTCTTAAAATATTTCTTGGCTTTTAGTGAATGATTAGGAGTAAGTTTCAGTAATGAAGCTATCTAATAATCATTTTTAACGATAGACACCAACGTGAAGGTAAGCCAAACTGTCTATCAACACAAAACATCACAACAACATTACAGGATGACAAACAATATCACCAGTAGTGTAGGCGGGATTTTTGTTGTTTCAGATATATATTTAGAAGTTGTTGAAGAGTTTAACTTTGTTATGTCTAAAAAAATTCAGGTTAGGAAAAACACTTTTTTTAAACATTTGTTCCTAAGCTTTAACAACATCAGTTTTTTGCAAAGTATTTTCATTCTATAAACGTGAATACACTTAAGTTTGGTTGAAAGTCAAAAGACCCTGCCTATGCTACTGAATACACATAGCATAAAATATTTTTACATAACACATTTGCACATAACACAAAATATTCAGATTATGTGTTTCCAAAAAAATTAAAAAAGCTAGACAACACAACCTAGCTCAACACTTGTAACACCGCTTGGCACTAAACGCTGCCAAGTAACACCACAATTTAGTAACACCGCTTGGCATTAAGTGCCAAGTAACACCACTAATTAGTAACACCGCTTGCCTAGCAAGAATCACAATCTTGCACTACACATTGCCAAGTAACACCACTTTTCAAATGGAAACAACTTAAAATAAACTTATATAAACTTAAGCACACAAATATAAATAAAGATACATAAACGCATATCTAATTTATTTTTCGCTATACTAATCTAAAATGAACAAAAACAATAAAGTGCTATTTATCAGTTTAAACCTATGAAACTATGTGTATAGCGTCTAATAAAATTTTTGAACAAAAATTATAACTAAACTGGTTTGAAACAGAGAAAAAGCCAGAAGTATCTTGTAATAACATACTATATTGTAAGTAATAAAACAGTGTTTTTTGAAACAAACAAAAAATTTTATTATTTTAAAAGTCTTATTAATGGTAATATTAAAAAGCAAAATTAGTTACAAATTAATTTTAATAATACTAAATTAAAAATGACATGCCAACATATGCAAACATGTTGCATCATATAGACCACATGTGGCTGAAAACTGACATATTAAACAGATATCATAGAAAAAGAAAAATTTTAAATATATTTACCAAATCTTTCTAAAACTGTATAACACTTAACAAATAAAAGTTAATACAAAAAAAAATTTAGTATTATTAAAATTAAAAATGAAGATAAAAAGATGTAGAAACGTAAATTAATAAAAAAACTTATAGACCAATTATTAAAAACTTTTATAACATAAGAGTTCTTTTGTAAGTTTAAGATTTAAAAACAGAATTAAAAATCATAAAAATAAAATAGTAAAAGTATAAAAATTAAAATAATAAAAAATTGCAAAATTAAAAAAATCATTTTTAAAGTCAATTTTCTTTATAATTAAAGATGAAGATAATTCTACCAGTAGCTTTAAAAAGCTACTGGTAGAAATTAAAAGAGTTGAACCCCTTTGCAGCACCCCTCTTTCTACCAGTGGTGTCATATGGGGCTTGCCTCCTCCATCTAAAGGAGGGATCATTTCCCCCATATTGACACCACCGGTAGAAAGCTCTTTGAGATGTCGAACCTGGGTGCTAGGAGCGATATCTCAGGAAATCTTGATGCGATGCTAAAAAACAAAAACAAAAAAAGAAATAAATTTGAATACAATACTGCACAAAACAACCAATAAAAATATTATTTAAAACTATTTAGATATTAAAAAAAAAGTTATGACAAAAAAAATAATAATAATAAAGTAATGTAAAAATAAGGATACGCAATGTTTAAATTTCATATATACCTACACAAATACACATAACACCCATAAAACTGCATAAGCATGCAAAACAGGTTACCTGATGGTCCTGCAGATATTGTTGCTATTATAGAAATAAATAAAAAATATGAACTAACACATATATTAAATAGTTATGTAATTGCATACAAACATGAAAAAAGTAATGTTTAGGTTTCAATACGCATAACACTGCATAAGTATGGAATAACTGCATAAGTATGGAAAAAAAATTACCTGGTGGTACTGCAGTTGATACTGTTGCTATTGCAGAAATAAACAAAAAAGTATATAAACAAACATATATTAAACAGTTATGTAATTGCATACAAACACGAAAAAAGTAATGTTTAAGTTCCAATACACATAACACTCATAAAACTGTATAAGTATGCAAAACACATTACCTGATGGTACTCTAGATGATATTGATGCAGTGAAATTAAAAAAAAAAAGTGTATAAAGTAACTTATGTTAAACATTTATTTAATTGATAACAAATATGAAAAAAGTAATGTATAAGTTTATACACATAACACTCAAGAAACTGCATAAGTATGCAAAACACATTACCTGATGGCACTGCAGATAATATTGATGCTATTGTGAAGGTAAAAAAAAAAAAGTGTATAAAGTAACATATGTTAAACATTTATGTAATAGCATGAAAACATGAAAAAAAAAAGTATTTAAGTTTCAATACACATAAAACCCATAAAACTGCCTAAGTGTGCTAAACAGATTACCTGATATTAATGCTTGAGGTGTTAATGTAGAGAAAATAAAAAAAAAAAATAAAGTAATCTGTAAATTAAGATATGCTTTAAGTTTTAACACACATAACACTCTTAAAACTGCATATAAGAATGCAAAACACATTACCTAATGGTACTACAGATGACGCTATAGTGGAGGTAAAATATATATTTACATAAACTAACATATACTAATCAGTTAAACAGTTTATTTTGAGTGATAAAACCGCACACAAACATCAAAAAATGTGCGTTAAAATTAAACAAAATGAAACATAAGTGAACTTTGCTTACCAATTGAATTTTCTAATTTTTCCTAATAGAATAAAAAAAAAAACTCATTAACATTAAGAAAGAAACTAACATGCAGAATATTTGTCAACTTTAGGAAATCAATAAATAAAGTTGGAACAAAACAAAACCCAAAAATATCAATCACGAAACAAAACAAACCAAAAAAAAAAAAAAAAAAAAAAAAAAAAGTGACAAAAAAAAAAAAAAAAAAAAAATAAAGAAGAACATTATAGTAACTTACTTAGTTGTTGAAATATAAGCTCTAAAAAAAAATGCTAAAAATTGTATTAAAAAAGCTAAAAGACCGAATAGTAGACCTTTATTTTTGAAAGTAAAATGCTATATCTTTATCTATAAATTATAGATAAAGATATAGCATTTTATTATTTTCATTTGTGTATTATAGTATAATACACAAATGAAATATAATCAAATTCTGTTTACCCATTGAATGTTCTAATTTTTCTAAATAAAATGAAAAACTTATAGACATTAAAATAGACTAACTTGCCATATATAGAATAAATTTATTTTAAATAAATATGTAATAAAAGAAATAAAGAGCATGACAGCAACAATAACAAGTTTCTTACTTAGATTCTCAACTGAATCTTGTAATTTTTTAAAATAAAATAAATTTAAAAGTTACAAAATTCACTTGCTGACTGACAAACTGTCACAACTGACAAAAGGCAGTTGCTAAATAACTTTAAAAAAACTAAAAAAGCATAAATGTATTTGCACACAAAAAAAAAAAAAAAAAAAAAACAACAACAAAATTCCTCACTTAGCTTGTCCATTACTTCCGCTAAACATTAAAAAAAAGTTATAATTAAAAAATTGCTGAAATTGGTGAAATATATATCTTTGTAACATATCCTTCTCATACAAATTTAGCTTACTTGGCAAGAGCTCTTCGGCTCTGATCTCTTGAACATCTAATATATATAGACAAAATTAATTTTGAAAATATTTACTTTTTCAATTAAACATATAAGATTTGTCTTAAATTATAAAACTGTTGCACAGTTTTATAATTTAACACATTTAGTAAACGGCAAAAGTTTCATTTTACGTAAAAGTTTAGTAGTTAAAAGACTTAAAAGTCTATTTTAGCTTCAACACGTTTTATAAAATTATAGCTTAAACACCTTAAATAAAGCTTATACGCGTTTTTAAGGTTTACTGCTTTACAAAAACATCAATCAAAATAGCGGAATAAACACAAACTGAGTTTCGGGTCCACTCTTTTAAAGTTCTAAAAAATAATTTATATATTTTTTAATTTTAGTTAAATATTTGGGCAGTGTACGGGATTTACGTTAGGGGTTAGGTTAGGGGAGGGCGGCATATCTTGGTTGATTTCAATTAAAAACGGCTAAAATAAATCATCGTTTTATTCACACGTGAATCAAGTACAGGTCCGCCACTTTTAGAACATATGTAACTGCTACTATATATAGAATATATATATGGCTTACTTCGAAAAAATGCAGAAACTTCTTCGTCGCCTAAAGATATACAAAATTATCTCAATGTAATTTCTTAATAAAATAATATACTAAATATCTCAGTATTATTGCCCAGCAAGCATTTCAACGTTGATTCAACGTTGATAACGCGTTGATTTACAGACGTCGATTTATTCGTCGAATTGGAAACAAAATATCGACGTTGAAATATCAACATTGATTCGACGTCAATAAATCAACGTTGAGCGTACGTTGATTTACAAACGTTGATTTAACCGTTGATTTGGAAACAAGAAATCGACGTTGAAATATCAACATGGATTCAACGTCAATAAATCAACGATGAACTTACGTTGATTTACAAACGTTGATTTAAGCGTTGATTTGGAAACAAGAAATCTACGTTGAAATATCAACATCAATTCAACGTCGAAAAAACAATTAACGTTTTATAAACGTTTTTGAAAGATAACATTTAAAAAATTTACAAAAAAGTATTTGTTACAAAGTTTAATAAGTGGGGGAAAGTAAGACAGTTTATTTTTATTTTTCGCTACTACTTTCGCTTTTAAAAACTAATTTTCTTTGCAAAATTAGTAAGTACTATTGATTTAAAAAATGTTTTAACCTGTTTATCATGTTTGCAACACTTTTTTACCATTGTTACCGCCAATGGAAGATAGCTGATTAACTTGATATAAAAATAAAACAATATCAATAGGAGCAATGTGGCAATATTGCATAATAGAGCATCTAGATCTTCAATGGAATTTTTAGATAACATCCTAGCAGATAACAAGTCAGGTTATCCTGCTACTAGTAAGTGACCGGGGCCATGGCCCAAAACAGAGCTTTTTACAAACCCGGCACCGACCCCGGGTTACTAGCTGAGGTTAGATTTTTTTTATAGTATTGTAATCTTTTTTACTGTTTTTGTTTATTTTGTTTAAGCTAATATCTGTTATGAAAGTTAAAGAAAATATTTTTTAAAAGTCATAAATACATTTAACAAATATTTAGATATTTACTTAATGTATTTATGACTTTTTTTTAATATTTTCTTTGACTTTCATAACATATAATAACTTGAACAAAATGAAACAAAACTGTGAAAAAGAGTACAATACTATAAAAAAAATCTAACCCGGCTAGTAACCCCGGGCCGGTGCCGGGTTTGTAAAAAGCTCTGTTTTGGGCCAGGGCCTCTTATCATCATCAGCATCATTTATGTGGATCTCCTGAAAATCTTGACTTCAGGGCGGTTTTACCAATGAGGAGGGGTGTTTTTTAAAAATACCCACAAATTTACCTATAATGGTCAATTTCAGTATAATAGACAATTTAGTATAAAGTATTTTAAATTTGTATTATTTTGTCGTAAGTATAATATTTAAATATTATACTTACGACAAAATAAATAGATTCACATAAATGATGCTGATGATGATAAGGATAATGATGATGATGATGATGGTGATGATCACAATGATAATGATGATGCTAATGATCATGATAATCATGATGGTCGGAAGTTGATGATATACACATTTATAAAAAATATACTTATAGGATCTATCAATGTAAATGTAGCCATGTTCATCACACAAGATTTTAATCTAATCAACACTATATTTAAATGAAAAATAACTTACAAACTTTTTAAAAACCCTTTTGTCAGCTCCAAGTTTTCGATCGAACTCATATAAAGCGTCTATATCATCAAATTGTATTAATATCTCTCCTTCAACATCTTTCATTCTGGTGCCATTAACTGCATCTAACTTTTTGGATATTTCACTCATTTGCAAGGTTATTTGGGCCAACCTCCGTAATACTTTATGTTGAAATCCTGAGTTTGAAAAGAAAAAGTACTTTATAAATATAATATATATATATATATATATATATATTATATATATATATATATATATATATATATATATATATATATATATATATATATTTGAGAGCTGAGCTGCAAGGGGACAGGAATTTCTTCCATCCCCACCTATCTCGCAAACATTTATTGGCCTTTTTCATGACAATAAATGATATACTTGAATGAATATGTTGCATACAAAACAACAGCAAGTTGAAAGACAGCTGTAAATCAAAAATGATATAGTAAAGAAACCTACCATTATCTTCGAGATTTTTTGAGCTAATTAACTCGTCCCGAGCACAAGCAGAATCTCTTCTATTGTAATTAACATAAGATTGAGAAATAACTACAGGTGAATTGGTGGAAACATTTGTGAATGAGCTTTCTAACATACTAGTAGTAGTCTGACTGTTTAATATTGGTTTGCGTATAGAAAAATCATCTCATGTAGAAGAGGTAGTAGTTGAAAGAAATGGCTTTAGTATGTGAGCTGTTGATAAAGCAGTAAGTACAGAATAACCACCATGTATAGAAGAGGTTTGAGTATAACCTTTAGAAACCAATTTAACATTAAAATAGTTTGACATAACATTTATTGTAGTAAAAACCATTAATATATTATTTTGAAAATCTAAAAAAAATTTAAATAATTTAAAATAAATTCGTCAATTAGGCAAAAGGTACCAGATGAAATTTTTTGACTTGAATTGTTCCTTTTTGCTTTTTGTGGAACATCTGTATCCGGCGTAACAGTTCCTATGAAAGAAATTATATTATTATACAAGAATATTATTATTATACAAGAAAACAAAAGTGTTATAAATATAATCATTTTTGAGTATTACATATCATTTTTACTTATTGGCATTTTCGGTGGAACTGGCTTTGGAGTATACTTAATAATTGCATGTCTTTTTTCAGATGAGCTGGGACAACTCTTAATCATCATTTCATTGTTATCCAGTTCTCCAGCTGTCACCATATCTCCATACTCTTCACATACTTCTTTGTCATCATCTAGGATGGAATCAATTAATGTTTACATTGAAAGTCTTATTATAAGGAAAAAACATTATGATGACTGATATTTATTTAGTAAATTTAATGAGCACTGATTAAATATATAAAAAGACCTATAAATAATTTAAAATTATATCTTTAAAGAATTTGTTTTAGAAAGAGACATCAATGAAGTGCTTTAAGAGTATAGTGGGCATTCGTTTAGTCATGCAATTAGTAACTCAATCATTTGATGGAGTTACTAATTTAAGTGATCATCGAAAACAGTGCAAATAAGTTAGTCGTATTGAAAGAACCTATAAAAAATAATAATTTTGTGTAAATATTTTTTATAAATAAAAATAAAATATTTTTTAAAAACATTTTTATATATTACATCATTTAATATTAATAAATCTTCAATTACCAGTTAGCTTGATGTTTTTCAGTTTGAATTGATACCAATCATCAGTTGGATTGGATATTATTTTCATTGATGACTCAAAATTTTTATTAGGCCAAAATACTTTGTTACACTTTACCCAGTTTGATGGAACAGTCTGTTCATATTCCTCTAATGAGCCATCTTGCATATTCAAACCATACTGCTCTGATCCAAGACATTTAGTTTGTGAAATTGACAATTATAGTAAACCTGTTTATCTAACTCAAAAGAAAAAAATTAATCAATAAATAGTTTAATATAATAGTGAAATTATTAAAATAAATGTGAAATAAATTAATTATTATATGTTTTAAATGTATATATATGTATATATATATATATATATATATATATATATATATATATATATATATATATATATATATATATATATATATATATGTATATATATATATATATATATATATATATATATATATATATATATGTATATATATGTATATATATATATATATATGTATATGTATATATTACAAAATAATAACAGTAAAAACAGAAATTAAAACGAAAATATGTAGCTGTAAATTTTACCTTTTTTTGAAATGGCTTCTAATGACTGTATAAATAAAAACATTCTTTTTATACCAGTTGGAAATAAGGAAGTCAGACATATTGATAATGCTAAAATACTAATAGTTAAACTTTTTTTCAGACTAATTGCTTAATTATATAAATGCTCTGTTTATACTAGCTAAAAATTAGCAAAGCAGACATCCTCAATTATTAAATTGCTGCAATAAAACAAATAGTGATAAATATTTTTACTATTATCAAATAATGCAATTTAATTATTATCATCAATTTTTTGTACATATAATTATTGTTAGTTCATTTTTGCTTTTCATTAAAAAAAAAAGCGAAAAACATTTAAAAAAACAAAATACTAAAATCTTACTTAAAAACAAAGATAAAAAAATAAATAAATATAAACATTATTATAATATCTATATTTGTTCAATAGAAAAAATATTATTTGTAATTGAATACTATAGTGCTCAAAGTACTTAAGTCACACAAAAAAAATTAAGAGAAAACATATTTCAATCATTTTATTTATATAGCCTTTTTGTTGTAAAAACTTAAAGTAAATGCATTAAGTAATAATTTATTTTTTCTTTACTTAATTATTATATTTCTTGATTTTTATTTAGTTACTTTGTTTATAAATTTAAATTTTAAAAACAAAAAGATTTTACAAATAAACGATTAAAATATATTTTCTGTTAACATTTTCTTTGTGAATTAATACTTTAAGCACTTAGGTCTTCAATTATTATTGGAATTTTTATCTAAGTATTTATAACTTTTTTTTATACAAAACAACTCTTTTATTTAATGATAAATTATTCAAAAATTTACATTGTGGTGTAAAGGCACCAACTCATACCCATCATTGTATGGAATACCACATACTTTTTTAATAATGAGATCTTTTTTATAAATTGTTTCTTGAATTGTACATTTTTATGACGGAAATATATATGCAACAACTTAGAACAACACGGATCATAAAAAAACCCATCCAAATCAGATATTTGATAGACATAGCATTCTATATCATTACCAATGACATTATTTACACCCACTACTTTTTCTCCACAAATGAAAAACCATCTATTTTTATTTCCAATTGAAATCTTAGTTTTTGATTGTTGTTTGCTTCTTGTTACACAACATTTCTCTATCTCCTCTAATCTTTTTGTCAATTGTGACAAGGGACTTTGTGCCTAGCGCACATAAGATTTTAGAATACCTAGATAGTTTTCAAAAGGAAAAGCAGATATATCTTGTAAACTGCAGCTGTGGTTGACCACATCTTCATACAGATGTGTCAAACTATGAACATTATAAGTAACGAATTCTTGTCCATAAAGAAATGATGACCGATATACAAACCATTCCAAGAGCCCTTTTGCATACATTAACAACTTATGATCATTCAAAAGATCATTATCAATCATTATACTCATAGCAACTGATAAACTTAAGAAATGTGTATATATTTCTTGAAAAACTACATTTTTTAAAACAATCATACCGGTATATAAAAGAAAATTTTTGAACTCTGTAGCTTTCCAGCGTTTAAACTCATCAATACCTCTTGGTTGTCTTGCAAACTCGCTGGGCAATTTTCCTGATAAGTCTCTAAGTTTTTCAGAAATAACTGCTTTTTGAATCTCTGATATCCTGCATGATCTTTTACCTTTGTTGAAAAAAATTATTATCCTTTTAGTTACTCCTAAATAAACCAAATGCATTATATCTAAAACAAATGATGTAACACATGGTATATTATATTTAGCTAGAGTAGATAAAGTTTTTTGGTGTTCTTTGTAACCGTGTAGGTTAAATTCTGTATCATTTCTCAGAGTATATCCTGACCCAAAAAAAACTTGTCTGTGATTAATACGTGCACCGTGAATAATACATCGCTCACACGAATCGTATCCATTATGGCTAATTATAGACTTCAAAAATTGTTGAGCTGGAGCATCACAACAAAATGATTTAAGGGAAACTAAGTAATGTTTATATTGAGTTTTGATTCCATTTTGTAATAAATTTGTTAACTCGTTTACCAAATCAAACATAAAGCTTTCTTCAGATGTAGGTTTGCTATTACCACAGAAAATAGCTACAGCAAATGGTTGGATACTTGAAAATGAGCAAAGTATGGGCCATAAAGCTACTGATGTGCTTTTAAATAATGGTATTCCATCAACATTAACGACTAATTCAATTTTCGAAAGATTTGGAAATTTGCTTAAATGTTTTAAAATATTAGTTTCCAAACCATAATAAATGTAATCGCCACCACACTTATTCTTCAGAGGAATGTTACTTGGAGTTTTTAATAATGTTCTTACATCTTTTGGAAGCTCTGTGTGGCCATTTTTTCTCAAAATAAAAAGAAGTTGATTTGTTGCAGAATGTGAAGTTTGGTTTACAACAACCCATTCTGCTAATTCTTCACGTAGATTTCCATTTATTATTTTGTCATCTATAAAGTTTCCATGATTCAAGAAACAAGAATTAGAATCAGAACTATCGGAGACTCCGGCGGAGTCAAGACTGGAATCTGAGTCGAAATCTGTTACTTCAACACCTTCAACTTCTTGCTCAATTGATTCTTCGGAAAGAACTCTTAATCTGAAACATTTAATTGTTGTTTATCTGTTTCTATTGAACTATCTGTCTCAGTAAATAAATCAATTACTAATTTATTAATTTTTCTCCATTGCGTAATCCGTGATGACATAGCAACTAAAAACTCAAAGCAATTAAATTAATGCGGAAGTACATTAAATTTTATTGTTTTTTAAAATTTTTTTAAAAACCCGCAATTATAACGACTAGAAAGTTTTTTTTTATTAGTGATGTTTTTGTTTTTATTTTATTAAAAAACATTTTTAAAACATGCGTAAATGTTGCTACATCGACTATCTTATAGCCTGACTCGCAACGGAGTGCTGCTACATCGACTAACAAATAGCCTGACTCGCAACGGAGTGCTGCTACATCGACTGACAAATAGTCTGACTCGCAACAGAGTGCTGCTACATCGACTGACAAATAGCCTGACTCGCAAGGGAGTGCTGCTACAACTACTGACAAATAGCCTGACTCGCAAGGGAGTGCTGCTACATCGACTGAGGGTTTGGTTTGGGCAGGCAGTCTATCATTAAAAAAAAAAAAAATTAAAGTTTTTAAACTTTTTCTGGTCTGGTTTATTAACGCGCTCTTTAAAACTACAGTTTAAGGGAAACTCTTTTCAACTACCATGCAAGAGTATATATAAATATATATATATATATATATATATATATATATATATATATATATATATATATATATATATATATATATATATATATATATATATATATATATATATATAATATATTATACTTTAATTACAAAAATACATTTTGTAATTAAAGTATTATATAATTATAGTTATATAATATATATATATATATATATATATATATATATATATATATATATATATATATATATATATATATATATATATATATATATATATAATAACTCTTTTGTATGAATAATTTGTAAATATTTTACACTTTTTAATAAAGTACAATAAAAAATAGCTCATTTCTCTGAGCGATTAGCCATCTTTATTTCAAATAAGAAGTTCGCGATATCAAACAGAAAGTGTATGAATAATTTGTAAATATTTTACACTTTTTAATAAAGTACAATAAAAAATAGCACATTTCTCTGAGCGATTAGCCATCTTTATTTCAAATAAGAAGTTCGCGATATCAAACAGAAAGTAAGACATGTTGATTTAACGTTGATTATATCAAAGTTAGTTTATTACCAATACATCAACGTGGAATAAGCGTTGAAAATGCCGAAGTTGAAATTTCCTCTTTGTTCAGACGTTGAAACAACGCCATTTTCTTTAACGTTAGTTTATCAACTATAAATCAACGTGGAATAGACGTTGAAATTTCCGACGTTGACATTTCAACAAAGGGCAGACGTTGATAAGACGTCGTTTGCTTGCTGGGTGA